GAATATTTTCTGCTGCAAACTTTGCACTTCGTTATGCTGCATCACAGCGTACTTTACAACTTGAGTTGTTTTATCTTGTTACAATTGATATTGAATGCCTTGCCTTCATAATTGTTCAAGATGATAGGCCTACCCACTATTTTATCTATTTTTGTCGGGTGAATGAGAGAATAAAGGGGAAACAAGCTGCATTGATGTTTCATATCCATAATTTTATATGTTTGCGCTGCTCCTTCCATGTAGATGACCTATCGCTTTTTTTCTCAAATTTTTGTTCTATATTGTAAATTACTATAAGTTCCTTTTTCATTATTTTGCTTTTCAAACGGTATGTTCACTCTTTTGCTATGTTCCCATTCGGTCTTTTTGGAAAAGGTTTATGAGCTATCCAAAATTACGGTAATAATTTTTATATCACCCATTTTTTGTACCGGTGATATTCATGCACTCCATTAGGTGTAAGCTCTGCATTTGCTTCCCATGCATTTATTCTTTTTCCATTAATTTAGTTGCAGTCATGGGTAGCCAACTCCTGCTCTTCTATTACATTGCACTTTATTGATTATTCTGGGTATAGCATTTATTCCAAGTATATGTTTTTGGATAGCATCTGTTGGGAAAATTAATATTTAAGAGCATAAATGTTGAACCGTACCGTACCAATGTTGAACGTCACATCGAATCGTAACACGAAGAAAATTATCGCTTTGCATCATCATATAAATACTAATCGGTTTTGTTAATCCAGAACATAAGTCCTAATCAAAATCAATACATTTAGATTGTTATATTTTTAGCTCTTATTTACAAAATCGTGTTTCTGAGGGAAAAAGTACACTGCAGTGATGAGCGATATTTTTTCAGTGTAAGCAAATCGAAACACAAAAGTTATATCACGCGACGCCACGTGGCGTGGTGAATTCTTGAGGATGTCTTGCATTGAACATGAAGTTCCTACGGGTGGATCTTCTGATATTGTAACAGATGGTTCCTCCAGTGTAAGTAATGCCTTTTTTTTCATCTCGCTCGTAGCAGTAGTTTAGACAGCTTATCTTAAATAGAATGAGCAATATATCAACAAATTCGAAAAAATCGAGACCAGTTGTATCCTTTATGGCCCGGTGAGTCATCACAATCCAGAGCACAATTATTTTGTGAACATAAGTTAAGCCATAAACTAATCAAGAATCGATAACATGATGCGATTTAGTTTGTTTAGTTTGTATCTCCATCTCATGAAAAAAGATGATCATGTAAATAGCATCTTTAGCAATTAAAAGCTATTTTGAAATCCCCACCTTAATATTGTAATCATTGAATTATAATGCGTTCTTATAATGGAAGGAGTGCTAGACTTCGCCTTCCCTTGGTTATCCTCATGAGGATATTCAATGGTAGCCTTAATGCCGTTTCCAAAGAGTACCATTTCTCTTTTATTAGCATTATAGATTCCTCTTAAATTTTCGTGTTCTTAAATTCAGTTCAATTCATTGTTTTCATTGTTTAAGAGTGAGAAAGGATTATACATGAATTTCGACATGTTTGTTTATGAAATAAAACTCATGCATAGACTTTTTCGGTTGATTTTTTATCCATAAAAATAACTTTGGCCAATAATATTAATAATTATTAGTCTTATTCGATTATTCAGTCCAGCACATCTTCTACTTTTGATATGATGATATGCTGAATGCCACTAGGAAGTTTTTTTTTTGTAGTTAGTATTAGCAGTTCCAAGTAGTTTGGTTTCTAGCAAATTTCTATCATTATTGTGTTTTGAACCTGTGACGTTTGGTCCTGCTCTTTATGGATTACTAGATGTCATACTATAATTTATGACTGTAGCAAATGATGGTCTGAAATTGCAATAATTATCAAAAAACTACTTAGGGAAGAAAGATGGTCCAATTCCTTTGCAAAAATATAATGTTGTGTAAGACGTTGAACTGATCGTTTATTAATCGAAAGCACTGCATGTTAATGGCATGGAAACTAGAAGCTCGACTGCAGAAAATTTGCATGATTTGGAAATCGGAAATTTAGATCATCCGTCTTTTCTATTCTGCTATTATTCTTGATCTTTCATCACTCATCACTAAGTAAACAGATACCACTGATCAGAATACAGTTCCAGGTGCACAGATTTACTTTTGATAGATTGTGATAAATAAGGAATTGAACAGAATATTTGGATTATTTCCGGATTATCATTATCTATGCCCTGGCCAAATTTTACAGTGAAATGCTAAATGCATGCAAGAGGATGAGTTAGCTTACATTTCCGCTCTCTCTGCATACACAGTCATCCATTTTTTTTTTAGAATGATGCGCTTCGGTTAAAGTCCATTTGCACTCTATATATGTTTCGCGAATCATTTATTCGTGCTTGTTGGTTCTTCAAATATTACGAAAAAGGTTTTAAATTTAGTGGTTTTTGAAATCATGTCTGTTATGAGGTGATTCGAGTGAAAACAAGTGGAGAAGGGGGAAGGTGAAAAGGAGAGGGCAAATCATGGACGGAGACACATGTGTAATTACAAATGTGCTGAAAAGCTATGCAAAATAGAGAAGACAGTTAAGAAATTCATTTTTTTTTGTCTTGCAAAACCTGGTTGTGATTCTTATTTTCCTTCTTACTGCTTCTGCGGTTTCCTTTCCTTGTTCCACGGATGAATGCATTCGGTCATTTTGTCATATGCCACCTGTGCTGTATGGCTTGATATCAGTTTAATGATGAATTAAAGAGTGCATAAACAAAGAAATGGGTCAGGAATTAAAGAAAAAGATTTACCGCCAAAAAATATGGTAATTTTAGAGTCAGAAGAGGAGATGAATATTTATACAGTTACAGGGGTAAATTACGTAATATAGAACTTTTAGTACAAGTGAAGTTTTTATTGCAGACAGTTGCGTCTCTCTGCATTTCACAATGTTATCATTTGACATTTGTCATTTTGCACCTTTTCAAGTAGCAGAAAGATAACTTGAAGTTTTTTGAACATATCTTTCTAACGATAACTCTCAAGTATGTATACGTTACTGTTTTATGTCATATTTGGTTTGTCTTCTGCGTCATTCACTTTTGTGTTTCTAATTTTGGCAAAAGCTGGATCTGTTAATTTAGAATCCGATATATGTAATGAGTAATGTTGAGGTCTCGATGCACATTGATGATATTATAGTTGCTTTCTTTTCTCTCACTTCCTTACCACTATCTACTATATATCGTCCATGTTCAAAATTAGAGGCTTTGTTCTGTATAACAATGAGTGTTTTGTTGTAATAAATTAAGTAGTTTTTTAAGTCTATTCATTTTAATGGAGTGAATATCAGGATTATTTCTGGAATGTTAAAATTGTCGTAAATCTTGATTATTAGCAACAGTGGTTGTATTTTGACGACGATTAGATCTCCGTAATCTCTAACCAGTAGGATTTAGCTTGTCATTTACTGTAGCGGTTGGTGATGTCTTAGTGTTTTTTTCTTGGTGTTCCATATGTCTCATCTCTTATTCCTTTTTACTCGTCTTGATAAGCCGGCAAACTTACTTTGTCTCAAAGTAATATTGATAATTTAGAGCGGATCGAATGATTCTTCGCATAGGATGGGAACGGCGATAACGGAACCCATGGCTATCGCATCGACCTCCGCAGGTTCTACTGCTTTCTTAACGATGTCGGAAACAGGAGCGCCGCCATTAGCAGCTTCTCTTCCTAACATTCTTTGTGTAACATCCAAAACTTCCGATGTGATTTGCAATCCATGGAGGAATTTGGTCAGTCAAAACAGGAGACGTTACAAAAAGGACAACTTCGATCTAGATCTTACATGTAAATTTACATTTCGAAATTTTTAATATTAGTAGTTCTGTTAATTCAATTATTATTCAAATTTCAGTCAGTTCTTTTACCCGCAGTTTGAAAAAGAACTCCATCAAATATGATGTAGTTTAAGGAATTATTGTCAAGTTTGAATTTTTCTAGTAGGAGAGAGAGAAATGAAACTCAGTTCTTCATGCATTTTTAAATTATCCTGATGTGAAAGAAATTAACGAGCCAGAAAGGAAGTCAACTAGTCTAGAATGATAGAACAAAAAGTGTTTTCTAGTTTGAAGTTATGGCTAGTTGTAATTTTTGAACCAAATAATTGCTATGAGTATTTGTAGACATCACGGACAGGATCATTGCAATGGGCTTTCCAGCTATAGATCAAGAAAAAATCTACCGAAATAGCATGGAGGCAACAGTTGCATTTTTGGAACGGTATCATGCTGATCACTACATGGTTTTCAATCTGTGAGTAATGTCATGTTCTTGCTTTTGATAAAATGTAGCACAGAGGTATTCATATTTCTACCATTATAAAAAGGGACAATTTGTCTACGAAAGTTCGTAATAAAACATTCTTTATAAGGTATCTGAATCGATGTATACTTGGTCATCAGATATGATTTATGCCTGGTTATCAGAGAAAATGGAGTAGCTAACTGCTGTATCTAATTCTCCCTTAATATTTAGGCGTGGACGACATGCGTACGACCCGAGTTATTTTCACAATCGTGTGATGACCTTCGAGATGGATGATCATCATCCACCAAGATTGGAATTGATGGCACCTTTTTGTCGTGCTGTAAGTTGTTATGATAATTATAAAAGAATTATCCTCTTTGCAGTAGTAAAGTCATCTTAGTGGATTCTACTTATTTTCATGCCTGCATTTTCACACCGCCATGATCTTTCTAAAAACTTTACCACCCCCAATATCATTTGTAATTAATGTGAAATCAATAGCATGGGTATGAGCAGATCCACTTTCTAAGTGATTTACTTTTTTTGTGTTTGCTGTAAGTGCCAAAAAATTTTTTGTGCATCACTTATACTGAACATTTTTTCTTTTTTACCTGTGAACCTTTTTTCTTCTACTACCACTTATTTTCTGACTTGAAATGGGAAATGAATCTTTTTATACCAAACTACATTTTTAAAGATAAGAATAGACGTTCGAACTTACTAATTGTCATTCCTAAGCATTACATTTGCTTTTAATATAGGTGCATGATTATTTGGCTGCTGATGAGCAGAATGTTGTTGCTGTACACTGTAAAGCAGGTAAAGGACGTACGGGTGTAATGATTTGTGCTTATCTCGTGTATATAAATTTTTATTGTTCCCCAAGGCAAAATATGGATTACTACAGTATTGTGAGGACTATCAACAATAAAGTAAGTTCGAATGCTTACTATAAATGTGAATTTATGTGAAATTATTGTTTCTTTTTATTTATATTTCGGTAAGTAACACTATTTCAGGGTGTGACCATACCATCTCAACGACGTTACGTTTATTATTTTTCACATTTAAGGAAACGCAATCTCAATTATATGCCGCTTCGTTGTGAACTTATTGGTGTATATTTTGAGCGACCTCCCAGATTGAACGGTTAATATTTTGTCTTCTTTTGTTTCAGTTATATTTTTGTTCTGTCGTATTTTCATAAATTCCGAATAAATGCTTTTTACAAAAAAAGCAAACTGAAGTGTCATTATCTTTACTATCCTCATGCTGATTGTTGTTTTGATTATTGAAATAATGCATGGATGTTTACTTTTTAATTCTCAATTGTCCATAGTGAAAGATAATTAGATGTGAGTAGAGGAAGAAATTCTAGGTCGTAGAATCCTGCGCATTCCAACTAAGTTAAAGAATTCGCATGATGGTTTTGTCTTAAAATTTTTGTAAAAGCGTGGTTTTTTCAAATTAGTCAATTGTTTAGTCAGCATAGTCTTTTTTCCAGGTATCTTACTTGATGGAGCATATCGGTTACGAGTTGCTAACGGTGATGTAGATGTGTTTATACCGGGACCACTTCGATTGAGTGGTCGGGATTTTGATGAAGAAGAATCACTATGGAGCCAGTATCCTTGCTCTGTAGGGGAAGATCAATTCAATCCTTACGATCCACAACCTGGCAAAGATTGCATTTCAAGGTACATTAATTTTCAGCCTTTTCAGTCAATTAAGTCTAATTATTTCTCTTCAAATGAAAAGTCTTGTTTTATAAATATAATTCAATGATTGCTAGGCGATGTTATGGATGGAGTGTACCAGCGAAGAAAAGAGTATTTATCGAAGGCGACGTTCGGATTGATTTTTACGCGAAGAAATGGTTTAAAGGTCTGGGATGGACTTTGGTAAGAGTTCTTATATTACTAACGTTTCATTTATTTTTTATTCTGGCGATGAATTATATTTGTAGAAAGATCGCGAGAAACTAGGACATGTTTGGTTCAATACAATGTTTACTTGTCCTGGATATTGTGGTGGAGTGTATATACATGGTGACGAAGCATATCCTTATCCAAAAGATGGAAGTAAGATTTTATCTCTAGTAATCTTTTTATATTTATCATAACTGGAGAAGATTGAGAAATAAGTGTTTCTAAGTCTGAATGTTCTGAGCGCAAAAGAATTTTACTTTAATTAAATGAAATTTAACTGAAATCCGGAAGTTGATGTGTTCTTCGACATATCGTTATAGAATGTAGAAGGCACGCATTGCTTGTGCACTCTTTAATAAATTTACATTTAAGCAGCGATATTCAATCCGTGGCCGTCTGTCGATTCTCAGCCTTGCGAAACAAATGGTATTCTTAAAAATATTCCCCAATGTTCTGATGACAATCATGACAATAGAAGGAAACGACATGAGAAGAAATCCCATTTAAAAAACGAATTGCCAGGTAATTATCGATTATTTTTGAGCATTCGACATTTTTGCCGAATTTTCATCCTACGTGTCGTTTCCTTCTATTGTTACTCATCTTCTATTGCGATTTTTGATGACGAAAAATGGGTAATGATTAAAAGATTTGCAGTATCGAATCAGTGGAATATTGATTTTCCTCCAGGACTTGAAAAGCATTGCCCTCTTCGATGTTTGCCTCTCATATATCCTAAACAGCTCGGGCGACAGCCGTTTGTTTTATACTTTTTTTTCAGATTGAGAGCTAGGTAAGTAATGATATGTCAGTAATATGTAGAAATCATGATTTTTCCTTTGAGTAACGAAGATGATAAGAGAAATATAAAGTAACTTGAAAAAGGAAAGAGATATTTGAATAGTTTTAATGCAGAATGTGTGATGTTTTAGTCCACGAAAAGAAATCATGACGATGTTGCGTGATGCACACATAAAGCATTTGATCGGCGATAAGTATAAGAAGCATCTTCAATCAGTTCCATCCGGTGATGCTATTCCTAGAAGTCCTGAAGGTTATTTTACTTATTTCGCTTAAAAAATTGAAAAAAGCATGGTTTTACAGATTCATTTTTCATGTGTATTTCTATTTTCAGCCAGGCTAGACTGTGGAGGGCCCATGTGTCTGATGCGTCAACCCTTCGAACATGTTCTAACATTTAGCGTTCTGGAAGTAGACCGAGCTTTCAAGCATGATAAAATGAATAAGGGCTTAAAAGTATGATGTTGAATTATTTCTATAATTTTTGTGTAGTTGCTAAGGAATCTTTGTTAACTATTAGTGGTTGTTTCCTTTATTCCTGATACTTTATTTAGATATATGTGGTGGTGAAGTGTGTTGATGTTGACAACAAGGACGATGTCGAATTGGCAAACAAATGTATCGAAAATATGTATGCAGCACAAGCAAAAATCGATGCAGCTAGAACGGAGGAGGTAAATTCTCTTAAATGATACTAGTGAAGTATATTTATAGTATTTTGATTTTTTTCCTGAAAAAGTACTAACATTGCAGATGCGAAGGAAAAGTGGACAGTCCAGATTGGAAAACTTCTCTGACAGTACATCATCACATTCGTCAAATTCTTATTCAGCAGATGCTATATCTGACCAACCTTGGCGATATGACCCACGCTTACAGAATGCTAATTTACGCAAATATTTCTTCAGACAACGAGCGGATTCGAAATCGGTCCATCCTCCGGCGAATTATCGGTATGTTTTATATTAACTTTTGTAGCTAGAGTGGACAATGCTTTTCATCGGCTATTATTTGATTAATTTTATTTTTGATCAATTTCCTACGTCAATGACATTTTTTGTGAAATTGTCTGCACAAAGATTAAAGATTTTAGATAAAGGTATTTTTGAAGTTGATGTTTAATTGATTGGCTTATTGTGACAAAGCTTCACCCGAACAAATTGAAAATGAAGATATGCATTATTTCATCCCTTTACAGGTGTTTGCCGGGAAAAGCTGATTCTTCATCTTTGGATTTGTGGGAGACTGGTCTAACAAATTACGCTGGTGATGACTCTTTGGACGAGGAAGAAGTTGCGATGGTAAGCTTAGAAGAATAATGAAGAAAATGTGACCCAGTGAATGTGTATTTCCTGGCTTGTATTTAATTGGTAATTTTTTTCTGGCTTGCAGAAAAAGCAGATTCAAAATGCAGATACTGAATGTGCAAAAGAAGATTTTATAGCAACACAAGATCGAGAATGGCTGGAAGAGTCATCCGAGGTCCGTTTCGATTAAGTAATTTGCAGGCTGTGGCTTCTGATTTCATTCTCCCGCTTTAAATTATCAGTGTAAAACCATTATTTTGATTAGAAGAGGCACTTTTGTTTCATTTTTTCTTATTATTGTAAATTTTAAACTTACAACAGTAAACTTTTGAAATATTTTGCTTGCAGAGCGAAGATTGAGAGCACTTTTATTTCATCCATTGGATTTACTATCCTCAAAAAAATTATGGATTATATTTTTAATAAAGAGAGGACGAAGAGATGGTTCTCACACAGAATACATATTTGTCGAGCTTAAGACTGTGGATTATTTATGTGCAAGGATTATGTGACGTTAGCTTGCTTATTGCTTATTGACATTTTGTGTGTTTTAAAAGTTATCAGTAATTATGTAACAATCACATGTTCAGCTTTATGAATTACAGATATTGATTTTGTAACAATTTACTTCAGTACTTATTAAGGCATTGTTTTTCTGGAGTTTGTGACCTAACTTTTTCACAGAATCATTTCGTTGATGTGTGTCTGGGAAGAGCTTACTAGCCGAATTTCAATTTTTTGTGATTTTTTGTTGTATAATTCCCCATTATGTGATTTTTGGAAACCAGATTTTCTTGTTGCTGTTATAATATGCTAGTTTACTGCCAGTTTAGATTTACTTTGTCTAGTCATCAGCTTGAATTGAGCAGTCATTCTCCATGCTTTTCTGTAACCTTCTTCAGGTGAATCCAACCAGATCAGTTGTGTTCTTTGTTTTCTTCATTGTATTCCGAGTTGACATTTCTTCTACACGTTTTTGTTTTTCAGGTTTTTTTTTCTCTACTTTTCTGGAATAGAATTCCGCCACAGTTGTGATATCCCATGCGCTTAGTCATGCATTTTGACATCAGTTTTATTTTCTGTGAATTCCAAGCCCAAACATAGCTCTAGTAATTCTTTGCGTACTGCTGCTATAGATATTTCATTATAATTGTGTTTAGTTTTTGTTATTCTTTGCTGTAGCATTTGGGAAAGTGTTCCAGTTTGTCCCTAATGTTCGCTTATTCCTGTTCAGTTCAGCAAAAGTTCCGTTTCTTCTGGAGGCAAAAGTATAGGAAATAGGGGTTAGTTATAGAAGGATATCCACAATGTTGCAAAGACGTGACTTTCAATAGAAATATCGTATGTTGTTGAAGAAATTCTGAACATGTAGTTTTTGGGGTCGCTTAGGCGGTCGTGGACAAGTTAGACAAACAAAAAACCAGCTGGAGGGAACTACTGTTATCATTTTTGAGGGATTGTGCTTAATCTGTAGAGGAAATGGATGGTTCGATATTGGTATCTGTCATGTACTGCCATTATACAAATTGTATTGCAATAAATGAAAATAATGTTGAAATGGTCAGTATTTTGATCTCCTCTAAATTTATATTCTTCGTGAAAGAAAGTTGATTTCCATTAGTTTAAGTAGAAGAAGTCATCATCTTCTGAGGCTACCGCAGTGTTCTCCACTTGTGACCTCTGATCTTTTTCATGAGTTGCGATGTTAATCGATCCTTGTCTTATCACAACTTCGAGCACCTTGTAAGTATTACTATGTTTCAAGAAATTTTTGGGAAGTTTTGTTTTTCTTGAAGTACTCCCAGGTCCATTTATGTAGTATAACTTAATAAAGCAGTAGTAGCTGGCCTGTCCCGATACTAATTATATGGAAAAGAGGTAAAATGTGAAATATGTCCCTCATATAAGCTTCTAAGCTGGAATAAGCACTTCTGGTATTAGGCCAATATAGAAAATGCTATTATAAAAACGAAATCTTAAGAGGTTTACAAAACAGGTAGGAACTATGTGTGCTCTTCCTTTTCCCCAATACTCTGTACTTGTTTTTGATATACTGTATAATATTCAAGACCCGTAGATTCTGATTCTGTCAGAATTATCCATATCACATTGCAAGAAATAAAAATTCGTTACGAAAGAAAAAGATTTCAAAGAAAGAGTTAAATACACAAAAAATACATAATTTGACATATTGACACATTCAAACCCTTTGCCATTCTTAGGAATCACAATAACACATCTGGATAGAATGAAACGAAATGTTTAATGTCACGTCCAAAACGACTGAATGTGTAAGTAAGAGTGCCCGCAACTGCTGAAATTGCTAGCGAACCTGTCATACAAAATGTTGCCGAGGTTACAAGTATGATTTTGGCAACTGTTGCCTAAAATTTATTGCATCAGAACTGAATAATCTGAAAGAAGCTCTACCATTGGGCGGTTTAGTCACTTAAAAAAAAAAAATAAACTGAGTCTCCTCTACCACTATTATCGATGGCATGGTAAGAGTGGGAGAGAAATTCAAACCTGGCAATTAACATTAAAACAACATAAATAAAAGAAATTTGAGGTAGAATAAAAGGACAGGAATTCTTACCTGATTGCTTTCTTTCAAACCATATCTGCAGTATTTTGCAAAATGTTCGCAGTTATTTAGCAGAATGTTGTAGTTAGTTTTCCCAAGCTACAATGTTCAACATGAACTGACGCTTTTGTAATATTTTACTAGATAATTTAACGGACGGTTCACTTTACTACATCATTAATGATTGCAACAAAAATGATAAAAAATAATTATAACTAAGTGAAGTGTACCATAAGTAGAGCTCGATCAACCACAATAACCGGTGGGAACGGCCGTTTCTCCTTATCGAGTGAATTATTTATCCGACAGCTATCACCATTGGCAACAGTCATTAGCTCATCGCGACGAATCTAAAACGCGTTAATGAGCAAAAATTCCAACTTATCTTTTTTGATTCCATCAGATTTAACTACAATTTCAACTTCCATTTATCAATATATCTCTAACGAGAAGTTTTCTACTAAATTGTAAAGTATGACCTCAAAACTTTTGTTTTTATATTGTTGAAAGAATGTGGTAGCAACAAATCAAAAGCGCATGAGTTTTTCCCATACAGAAAAGTATTTCAAAAATTATACTGGACAAAATAACCTGTATTTGATTGCTACATGACAATTTTGTTTTAATGGTTGTCAACGATTCAATAGAACTGTTAATAAGGTCACTGCCAAAATCGCCAAAATCGGTCCCTGTGTGAGCAACATATGCTTTTTTATCGTGAAAACCAATAAATACTCCCCAGTGCTTAAATATTTCAATTATGTAACAGCATAAAATTAAAAATACATATGGGCAGTGAAATAGCATAGGCACATAGCACATATCCACTGCTTTTTCTGTCATGAAAAGCTCGCACTTGCTTTCCTGTCATGAAGAGCTATAAAAAGTTTTAAAAATGTACGCTACAATACACTTACATGTGAATTGAAACCACTACCGCATAACAGTAGATATCGAGAACAGCATACGGATGGTAAAGTATATTTCATGAATCACTTAAACCAACTTAATGGAAATAATGGAAATAAATGGAAATATGGAAAAAGGAAATAAAGAAAACAATAGCACTCAAATTAAGGACGAATTACCGTATAAATGCGTCGTTTTATACTACCGACAACGCGTCGAAACTCGATCAAATCACCGATTTCCAAATGGGAACAAAGTCTCTCTGCCTGCATCCAGTCAGAAACCAGTTCACCTGGTTTCAACATGTTCAAAACATCTGAAATGAGTAGATCATATATAGATTAATGTTGCCTTCCGTTGAACTTCAACAGATTTTCTAGCTGCTAGCTGAAAATTATGACTGCTCCGCACCCAACGAATGGCTATACTTACCAGTCACCAGGTTCAAATCAATTCAGTACTTTGAAATAGTGGTGAAGTTAACAAAGAGCAGAGATTTTTGCATATCTAAAGAGATGAAATTCCTTCAATCGATCCTTCAATTCTCGTAGTAATCGTCTTTATTACAACGCTTCCTTCTCTTTATTTTTCTTCAACCAGAAAGCTTTCTCACGATTAAGCAGAGTAAAAAAAAACATTGATCTATTGGAATTGAACCAAATAAAGCAAGAAAGATTCATTAGAATGGTAATGCATCTTTAATAATAACTCAAGAAAATCAACACTATCCACAAATTACATATATAGAATGATATAAGAAGACAAATTGTTCACTATTCCTACATCATATATATCATTCTTATATTACAAGGACTTCCAGATACCAATTATATCGTCTTTGCACCATACTAACAATACTGTCTGAACAAACTTCCAGATTTGAAATGATAACGTAAACAACTTCATACAAAGTAACTGTCAATAAATCGGAAGATATCTTCAATTGCTACCGCCGAAGTTTCTTCATGTTGGTTAGTTCCCGCACTAACATAAGTTACATAAGGACACTCTCCATGTATGCTTTTGTCTATCCGAAGTCCTATTTCAGTATGAGGAGTTGCTCGCCAATCTTGTATTGCTGGTAGCCAATCCATAACAGTTACAGATGGTAAGACGAACATAGCATCCGTAAGACATACACACTTCAGTCTCTTCATCCATTCCTTTGACCAATATTTTTCTATCTTTAATTAAAATCCAGTTGCAACAGGATGAAAAAGAAAGAAAATTGCTCTTACGATTTGTCAAACGAATTCAGCACGATTTGCAAAACCTTACAATGTTAGCGATAACAGTGCCCCCAGCACTGTGTGCAACCACTGCAATTGAGCTTGCTTTCGCGCTGGTAATATATGTTTTCCAAACAGTGATACCATGTTCTATGGGTGTTCTACTTCCCTTCAACAGTAATAAATGACAACAGAAGGACAAAATTAATTATAGCTGCTGACTGCTTGTTGGGCATGATCGTTTATCAGATCTGAGAAACGTTCATGACTGCAATTGTTGATTTTACCATCTGTTTATTTGTTGAAAGTAAAGAAAAATGACCAACTGGAAGTGCTTCAAGAGGATCGCTGTCAGTTACGTTCATGTTGGTATTCATCACAACCACTCCCCAATCCCGACTGTTGCAGATTTGCAAATATGGCAATTGTGAGCCCATATTTAGACTTTCATTCATTATAAGCCTAAAAAAGACTAAATAATTACATTTTGCTTCCATCCCGATAAGTTTTGCAAATGAGCAAAGGAGGAAAAAAAGCATTATCCGAACACTTGAAAACTGTGTAAATCATGATTTCAGTTCAGGAGAATTCCTCGCTGGCGCTATAATATGGTATGTAAGTGCTACCATAAAACTATTTACCTTCTGCTCCATTGGCCTGCACGAACTGCACCACTGCCATGTATAAGTACAACAAGATTATCTTTCTGATGCCAATCTTTGCTAAGAAAAATGAATGCACTTCTTTTCTTATCTGTATCGTCCAGCTACAGAAAAGTAGTGATCAGTTATAATGATAAGAAATTTGTTACCTTCACTAACATTTTTCTGATGTCTTCAGCAACAACTCCTCCACTTCAAAAAAGCTGAATGAAAAATCTCTAGTTACTATCTAATGTGATTTTTAAATGATTTTAAGAAGCAGCAAAAAAAATAAAAACATACATATTGTCTTTCCATATTATATGGCGGATTTTCCATTATTCGATAAATTTCTTCAGTAACAGCTGAACCGATTTTCTCATAACTTTTTTGATCAATGAACTCATATTTCTTCTCATTCTGAAACAAAGGATGAAATTACTTGCAAATCACAATCTTGACCATGAACTTTTTACACTAATATAAATCGTAAATCTCAAACGTATTTTCATATGATTTCTTATCAGTTTCTATCCCATGAAAGTAATTAAATCAAACTTTATCTCTCATAACACCGTGATCATCAAAATGGTAACCGAGTGCTTTCAGGCTTGGCTGCTTCACATCTTCCGGTACAGAACTAGTAGTTGCTTCTGGAAATTCCACATTTTCATAAAAGCATATAAAGAATTTGATATTATTACAAATTACTTCTCACTGAGAATTTGACATTACAAATTACTTCTCGCAAAGAAGTGTAGATGTTTTTAGTTAAACTGAATAAAACAAGACTCAATCGATAGGAAATGTTAAAGAAATGCGAAGAGGTTATTAACGGGATCATGTTCACTACAATATACAATTATATCTACGCTCACTATTTCCACGAAGGTATTTCGTCCTATAGTGATGTTTGTTATATAAATAGCATCAAATACACATTTGATTTAAAATAAAAATTTAATTCAAGTGACTTACCAGATTGTAAGTGCAATGGATTCATGCTGCAGAAATAGTGGATGATTCTTCTTGATGTTTTAATTATCCAATAGATTTGCTTTAACGTTGAACTACTGAAGAAGCACTTCAAAGTGGTAAAAAGAAGCAAAACAGTGCACCACCATAAAAAGCGCAGAATTTATGAACCGATCACTTCAATAGAACTTCCACGATGAGAATCTATGCTCCACCCTTCAAAACAATTCTTCCGTATCAAAAAAAAGGAAACGAATCACTTCGGGCCCTGATCGTTAAGTGAGAAGGCAGAAGTCGTGGTTCACTTTGATGAACTTTGGCGAAGTCATAGTCATTTTGATGAACTTCAGCTAAAGTTGTGGTCACTTTGATGAACAGATATCGGATGCAGATCATGCAAATAGGAAATTTTTTGATTTCTTCTCAGCGAAAAATTTCATATACTCATCTTGTAATCAAGAATGGCACATATTCATCTCATTTATTTGAAATCTCACAAATTGTTTTTATTATTATTTTGAAACTTCAGCATTTCATCTACGATTTATCACGTCAACTCAAGTTGTTTTTTACGTTGTAAACAGTTAAACTTGCATTTTAACGAACTGTACGCTCATTTTACTATTAGTTGTTGCATTCCAAAAGAAAGTTGATTAATTTGTAATAATCAGTTTGATGTATGTTCAAAATGTATGTATTATTCATTTTTATTGAACTGAATGAAATGCAAAAAACAAAAATGAATACGACAAACAAAGAAATGGTTGGTGCAAAGCAGTGTGAAAACAAGTAGCAATTTTATTTATAATAATAATTCAATGTCTTTCAACATAATTGCCTGGAAATGTTCCGAATTGACCTGTTCGTGGTAATGTACCTGCAAAATTCGTTATTACTGCAAAACTTTTCCGATAGAACTATATTGTGAATGTCAAAAACTATTCTTGAAGCCTACAAAAATGCAATAATACTGATTAATTTAAAAAGAGATGATTTTGGACGATTATTCACTCTTACTTTCCTTTTAATACCATCATAAAAAGTCACTGTTTGTACCGTTCATTTTTTAGTGGTAACAATGTAATTGACTACATTGTTAAATATTATAATCTTTTCCAAATATTTCATATAAAAATTAAATTTTTCAAAGATGTAAAAATAAAAAAAAATAGGAGCTCTGACTAACCAATGAACCAACCATCATCACATTTTTCAATAACAAAAACGATATCGTTTTCTTCGAGTTCAAGCTCGTCCGCATTTCTTGGTTTGTAGGCATACAGGACCCGATAACTGAAATGACTAATTATTTTGTATTTTATAACATTACTTTAATTAGTTTTTCTGAAGCATTCAAAAAATGCTTAATTAAACATTACTTCTTGAAAGTTTAACATTCAACTTGAACCAGTTCGATACATCGATTCATTCCTCTATTGCTGGATGAGTTATGGTGTTAAGTCTAATCTCATAGATCAATTTGCTGTAACGCTTATTTTAATACCGCGAAAATTTAATTTCCTCTTCCAATTGAACAAGTCATATCAAATAACATAATAGAATGAGGTCAGACGAAAAAAAATTAACGTTTCCGCATTTTTGGGAATCACGTTCACCGATCCAGAAAAGTCTCTTTGACTGCGCCTTCTCTGCTGTTTTTCTATTTTGTCTCCTTGATTTGTCTTTACTGCTACTGCTAGGTTTTCGTCTCTGCAAATACAAAATGAATTTAAATGGATAACTAAAACGGATTCCAAAGAAATGAATTTTATTTGCCATACTATATTACATATTTCAAAAATTATGTGAAAAAAAAAGCTGAATAATAAATATGAGATGTGTTAGCAAGCATATCAATCTATCCGATAGTGAAACGGAGGACAAACGAAATTCCCTTTTTCTCATAAATTTTGTGTTCTTCTTTCAACGACGATGCAATAAACATTCTGATTGTTACAAGAAAGCTTACGTCGGATTTTTCTCTTAATTAAATTGTGGTAATTCCGGATCACTTATGATTCATTCAATGCTGGTTATAAATAAGTATAGTGAAACAGAAATTAATATGAGCTTTTTATGATATTAAACTGTCATCATAAAGTTAATGAAATTGTTTGATGAGGTAGAATGAGGGAAATGGAAATGAGAAGCGAAATATTAATGGAAGTGTCACTATCCAACAGTGTATTTAACTGACTTAAAGCCAAATACATCAAATTGTTTAATTTAAATCCTGATTAATTTAATTGTTATTAGTTAAACTAGCAATGATTTCGTTGATCGTAAACGAGTTATAATAATAAGCGTACAAATAAATTCAGTAGTCTGACAAAAAATGGCGGACGATTCGGCTCGATGTACAAGAAACATTTAGCTGGTGTGTCTTCAAAAATTGTTGGTAATTGCTTCGGTAAATCAGTGGTTGTTGCTTGCCAGAAACCTTCGATAACAGCATCTGATAAGGTATCCATAAATTTATGCCAAGCAAGTAATACAGGTATACTGTAATGTTTTACCATCAGATAGTAAAGGATACGATTCTCCAGTAGCCTCCAGCAGTACCCATGATCAAAATTTATTGCACGCAAAATACGTGCTAACTGACGTCCAAATTTTTTGCATACCCAAATATTGTACATTGTATGATAACACTCGACAACCTGATCCAAAAATGTCACTAAAATAGAGTAAATTTGTTGTTCTACTGCATTAGTTACGAAACGTGGTCGGATGGCTAATTTTGCCGTTGCTAATTGTTGCTGACGGTTGTTATTTTCGGAAAAGTAAGTCTGAATTATATCATATTGTGTTTGTCGACATATTCGGATTTTATTTCGTATTGAACGCCATGATGATCGCAATGGATGTGCTGTTGTTACGGCCGAATGCATCTTACCGTATGTTGTTGAAATAATAATGAAATATCAATTTTAGGATATCTTTATAAGATACCCTTATTATCAATTATTTCTTGAATTGATATATGATCAGAAATATGTATAGACATTAACGATTATACTTTCTTTTACGCTATCCATAATTAAATTCAACTGATAATTCTGCAATATTTAAGTTTTTTTTTTAAACAAAATTTGTAAAAAACATTTAAAAAAACATACGAAATTACAAATCATAGATCACGGCACAGACTTTGGACTATAAAATTGAAGTTGACAGTTTTAAAATTATCACTATTTGGCATTTCATATAATGATCGCAATTATATTGTTAGTGCATGTTATGTAACTACGGAGCATTTTTACTTACTATTTTTGTTGGAGAAAGTTATATGAAAGTTATTTTCCAAATCTAAATTATCTAATATAATTTAAATGATTATGATTATTGAAAAGTCATCGATTACAATTTAAAAAAGATAATTATTCAATCTGAGTAAAAATATATTCTTTGGAAGATTGTTAAAGCTGAATGCCTGAGCATAGAAAAAAATAACGATTAAGGAAAAATAAGCTGCTAATTGACCCTTATTGCTACTTGAACCTTAACTACTAGTTGATCCACAAATGCATGTCTTTCCTAACGAAAACATTTGATAAAGCTAGGAAAAAAGCAAGAAAATCTAAATGATATTTAACAAATGAAAAAAATAGAGAAAACGAGGACACGAAGCATTTTCAGTCTCTCCAAATGAGCCATTTTCAATTTGAAATAAAATATCACTTTTTTTCCAAGAAATTGAGTCAAATTGCTTAAATTTGAAAGATAATTTAATAAATAATTTACAGCCACATGTGAATTGCTCAAGACAAAAATAGATTTTAAACTAAATAATATTTGGAAAAGTATATGAAAACTTTTGTCTGTCTGATTTCAAATCTAAAAGACAAATTTAAAAAGATTTAAATTATTGAAATGATTTTCTCTTTCTCTTTCACAGAATTTCATGTTCTTGAAAGTTGAGCAAAATGATTAAGGATAAATGATTTTAATAAAAGCAAAGTTTTTAACTTAATTTTAGCAAAGATTGGGATATTACAGAGCTAAATTTAAACAGAGATACTAAACGAAATACGGGGAACTCATTTTGTTTTACAAAGCTTTCATTGTCGAATGAATGGCTTTAAAAAAAAAACAAACAAGTGTAGTCTTGAAATGACAAATTACTCCTCTAAAGATCGCTGAAATTCGATTAACTTCAAAACAGCTTTCCAATGTTTACATTGGGGAAATATACTAGCGACATTTGCTAGATCAAATAAGGGAACAATGCAGTCTGATTAGGATACTGATTCTTTATTTTGTTATTGAAAAAAATTAAAATGTGTTGGTAAAAATCCGATCAGTTCATTTCGGAAATATGGCCTTGATTTACAGATTTGTTGTAAGCCTATTAAAAAATTTCAGTTTTTCGATATCCCGTAACTGTAATTATAGATTGTCAGTGCTTGATTGAAATATGTTAAACTGGCGTAGCTTATGAAAATTTCATTATTCTACTAATGGCTTCTCCATTTAGTGCTTTTGCAAAAAAAAAAAAAACCTTATCACTATTCAACGGAGTGCATTACAGTGTACTAAATTGTGAATAGAAGCATAACGCTTCATTTATTATCAAAGGATTGTCGATTTTCTTGTTGGTTAGAACTGATAACATATTTTAAAAAAAAATTTAATAGAATTCTGAAACAGTTTGTAACAGTAAACAGTCACAAGTTGCAGAGATTCCAAATGAAACATTTTTAAAACAATCCGAGACATTTTTTAATGAGCAGAAAATGAAAACTTATTGTATTTGGGAGCACTTAACAAGTGTTGTCTTTGTTCAAAATTTGCTTGCAAATTAAATGGTTCTATTCAGTTCAATTTTTTACATTCTTAAAGATTGCTACTGGCAAATCATGGCAGCAAGAAAAAAGACAAATTTGCTTCAAATTCTTAAATAATGAAATAAATGCCGAGCAGAAGTTCTCAGAAATGATCAATGATTACAGAAACATAGATTGAAGCTTGAAAAGAGCAAAATGAAAAGAAATCCATCTCAGGTTGATTTATATAGAACAAAATAAAAATTAAGATCCCAATGTTAGCAAATTGTTAGATATATGAATAAAATATGTTGTGTAATCCTTTTAAATAACATGCAGAAAGGATTTGACGAGATGAAAATAGTGCAAGCAACTACTTTCCGAAATCTTGTAAAGACTTTAATTCATTAATCAAACATTCGGTGATTTCATCAGGAAGATCCAAGAGAGATGAAATAGTATGTATATAATCTCGGAAAGTGCTTGAAACCCAATACAACAAGATTAAACCTTTCAATAAGAAAAATAGCAAATACAAAGTTTTATGAAATGACGTCTAACAAGGGCAAATATTATTGAATTAAATAAAATTGAACAAATCGAATATTTTATAAAATAGGAAATTTCTTCTTTCTAACTCAGATATTTTTATGCAAATAAAGTAAGTGATTAATTTTATGGCGAAAAATTCCCTCAGTGATTGTTTTAATGTGAAATAGGAAAAACATCTTGTAGCTAAATGATTAAAGGCATGATTGAAATTGAAAAAAAAATGGATATAAAAGAACTGGCTTAATATACGATTTATTAAAAAAAAAAAGAAAATTCGTTAAGCAAAATCATAACTTATAGAAAACTTTATTTTAAAGCAAATCTTGCAGTTTTACAGAAATTTTCTGCTCATGCAATCAGTCTTTTTAAAGCTGAGAAATGGAGTATAAAAATGGAATGCTAATGCTGAAAAATAAATTGCAAAAGCAGATATGATAAAGGGAAATTTATTAATTATTATATGATAGGGTACCAAAAAAAACAGTTATTACTATTTTTCTCTTTTATCACTCAAAAAATGCTGCAGAAAATATGGTTCATCAGCGCATCATCATTTGAAATCTCCAATTTATTCAATTATTTTGTTCAGAATTTTATCGGCTGAGTGGTTTAGCTATCAGAAAGATGAAAAAAAATGAAATAATGATTTGATAGTGGTTGATGGTGCAAATTTTTTCTTACTAAAGCAAAAAAGTGATTAATAAAAATTGAGCCGAAAAAAAGCAGCAAAGATAGTACTTTCAGGAAAAGGAAATCACAAAGTGTTTCCTGATTTGGTGATTGTAAGTGAGTAACGCAATAAGGCAAGAAACTGATAGGAAGCAAACTTTTTTTTTACTTCAAAATTTTTAATGATAGGAAATTGCATTCAGCGCTGTATTCTTTTTTTTTAATTTCCTATTATTTTTTTTTGAATTACATAAAAATTGAAATGATTTGCATCAATGTGCCTCTGATAGAAGCATTCGAATGAAGTACGTTTATTCCCTAAAATATATCAAACGGTCAAAACAAGTTTCTCAAACAACAAACTTCCCGTAAATGGAGTGATTCAAAGAGAAATTAATGATTAAAAATATCGGCATAGAATTTTTGAAAAACAAAATTTTTGACCGAAGATCGTTTCCATGATAAAAAATGACAAATAAAGAATTCCATTTTTTCTTAGAAATGATTCTTCTATTAACTCTTTCATCTGACACTTTGATCTTTTACCAAAAAAAGAAGAGTGAACTTTTTAGTTGGTATTTATAAAGTCTAACAAAGCGTGAAATAAAACTCACTTAGTCATTTGGTATATCAAAAACTGCAACCCACTAATTTATATTAGCTATGATAATATAATGAGTAAGAACTACAGATTTACTTATTTAATCGTAGATGATATCACATCGCTTACGTTTATATTTTTTACAAGGAATTAAATTTTTAATCAATGCGATCATCTCGTTTAATATGAAAAAGTCTTATGTCAAAAAAGAAAATAAATGAAAAGCAAAATTAAAGAAGCTATTGATGATCTATCTGTTTGAGTTTAGTGAAGTAATGTTTTAATTATTGCCAATTTTCAGCTTAATTTTTGAGAGAAAATTAACTCTTGTTGAAATTAAAACCGATATCTTTCGAAATTCCAAAACCATATTTAGCAACAACTTGATTGACACTAAAAATGTTTGATTTTTTTCAAACTCGAAAAATAAAGTGCTAAAAAATAAAGTAGAGAAATGTGAAAACCTGAATGGAGTAATACTGGTATGTGGTGTTTTAGGCCTATCCGGTACTATCGTTTCATTATTGTCATGCAGATTGACCTCACATGCTTTGTGAACATATGATTTCGGGAAAATTCCAGTTTGTCCATGAGCATTTTTACCCTCGAACCAGTTGGCATCAATATTTCGTAAATAACGCAACGTTTCACCCTATCAATTGCCGATATATCATTTTCTTTTTAAATTTAAATACTGCACAATAAAAAATGATCACTTTAACATTAAAAATTTAGATAGCTTATCGAATATGTATTGTAAGAATAAATAAATCAACAAAGTCAAAACATGAACTATTTTAACAAACCTTTTTCAGAGGTAACTCATTCTTATTTCTAGCGGAAAATGGATATAAAGCGATCAGTTTGATTTGCTCGCTCTCCTCATCGTTGTTAATCTTTAATTTATGTTTTTAACTATATTTAATAAATTAATTTTTAGCAATCTGTTAAAATTTGAAATTGAGTTCTTCTATTTAGTATTCACTATAAAGGATTCTTGTACTGGACAGTAACAAACAACGCTTATCGTGAGGATACTTTACTACTAATAATAGATAAATTTGCCTTTTTTCATCAGTAATTCCAACTATTTTCATTAAAACATGGATTTAATTAACAAAAACACTACTTGTACGTAGGAAGAAGGGAAGATGCCAATTTGACCGTCATGTTCGCCTTCCATCCAGTTAATATCAATTATGCGATACACCCGTATCACATCACCACGATTAAATGATAATTCTCTAGAAATTAAGCGACAAATTATCGGGAAAATTTTATAAAATTTGCCATTTTAAAGATAATTTTCAGAGAACAACATTGAATTGAATCATTTCCAACTGGATCAGTGTGATTTTATTTGATCTATCGCTTTTCAAAATGATAATGCATATGATTTTAATTTTTATGGAATACATTTAATTCGCTAGAATGTAATTAAATGTAATATAATTCTAACAGAATGCTTACTGAATGATGTGCAAAAATTTTCAAAATACAAGAAAGTATTCAATATTGAAAAAATAAAATTGCATTAAGAAGCAAAAAATAGATTCAAAAAGTTGTAATTGAATTAAAAATGATTAGATTAAAGTATTACTTGGGACTAATAGCTTCAAAAGAGAAAAGTGCAGTACAAGTCGCAATTTCTGGTTGTGATATTGTCTGAGGTGTGGTAGCACGTTCTGATCGTCCAAATTCGTTGATCAATCCATTAAAGCGATCAAAATTTTTCTGAAGGGCCGGAGAAGCAGAAGGCCTGAAAATATTAACCTTCACTAGCATAAATTTATCGTTACTGTTAAATATTGCTCTACGAAATAATTAGAAGTGCATCAAGAATATCCTCAAACTTTATTGTTGCCAAATTTAAGGGTACTTTATCATTATCACCAGCTATCAGTTAAATGAATCAGTCCAACTATCCTCATCACCACGATATATCTAACAACAACAACGACAACTAAATTATCAGTTCAGCTATCAAACAATAACTTTCAAGTATTAGAAATAAGCTGAGAAAAATACCTTTTAAAACAACCACAACTGAAAACTACATTACCAAGCATCATTCCATTCATGATAAAATATCATCTGACCTACTTGATACTTCACATGATCGAAATTTAAAGTATATCTTAATTAAATAATAAATGACTATCTTACGGAAAGAACATCGGCGTTCTAACAATGCATATCGAAATATTAGCAGATGAGCAATAACAACTAACACATATCCGTGCCGTCGATTTCTTTGTTGTTCCAATTCTTCGGAAAGCTTCTCAACTTTTTGCCGGATGAGAACTTCATATTTCGCAAGCTTTTTTATTTCGGCTACATCACTGACTGACTGACCATTCACTTTTCGCCTATCTAATAAATACTACAGTTGAAACAGCATTATTTAAAAATGAAGAACTCGATTTCCGACTATTGAAAGATGAATTGCTTTTATGATTCCCAGTTTCCAGCAAAATTTTGAGAAATCAACTCCATAATTTGTCAAAATGACTAAATTATGAAACTAGAAAAGGATGAAGGGTTTTGTATTATCGAGGAATTTTCGGTTCTAGTATGGAAATTTAAATTGATATTTGAAATAAAAATTTTAAGCATCATTCATGCTAAGTGTTAAATGTAGTGCAGAGTGCAAAGAAAATTCAAAATATGCAAGTGTGACGTTGCAAAAGTAAAGAATAATAATGGATGTTACGATAACAGTAAGATATCAATTGTTCAAACAACAATCGATTGGATGGGATGATTTGATAGTCATTTCTGTGTGTTTCAGTTTCATAGATTAAACATTTCGAAAATTTGAATAACAATAAAACATGCGGTAATATTTTTGCTTTCTTGTGCAGTTGCATAACTTCAAATACTTCCAGAGAGTGGAATAATAGAGTAATGATTGGGTTGATAAGTAAGTAATAGAAGTATATAGAAATGTTGGAGATTATACCCAGCGATTATTTTAAGATGCAGATCTTAGTAACGGCTATGAAATTATTAGTTGATCACAGTTAAATTCACATACGACAAAAATATTAATGGGCTTATTGAATGAAGTTCAATGTTTGGAATTCTCTTCACTTCGTTTTAAATTCAAAGCCGATAGAAAAAAAAAACCATTGCACCTGGCCTATTACTTTTCTCTTCATTACGATTTGTCGTTCGAAATAAAACTTCCAATATTTTCCAAGATTTTTCGGATTCAAGACAATTATTTATCTATAATCCATTTTATAAAAGTCAAGTAAAGAAATTTAAAATGTTAACTAAATAGGAGGAAGAGACACACCTGAACTGCTATAAGGTGAGCAAGATGAACAGAGAGTTGTTGTTAAGTTGGTGAGATGTTTGTGAATACAATAACGGTTAGGAGTAGAAAGCGATGCTGATGATATGCTGTGATTTCTGCTTCTCCTGCTATTGATACTATTATTTCCACAAGCTTCCAAGCAATCAACTAAACTTTGCAGATACATAACAGACTGATCTAAGCGTTCGCCGATTGCTGTTGATTTGACAAGTTTAGCCAATTGCTCCGTAAACGATTCCACATGAATTCGTTTTTTGTCCAATGTCTTACAGAGATATTCAACCTCACTCCATGATAAACTATGACAAGGTAAACCACAATATAAACATTTTGAGGGAGATGCTGTTAGTACAGGTGGCACCATCGTTGAATTCTCTGTTCGTTTACAGTCCTGTTGAAACCGATAAGGTGGTAAGTGGAAATGTTGAGTTTTAGAGCGTTGTTGAGCAAAGCAGTTAGTGGTGTAATGATGTATTGATGAGGATGATGGACAAGAGGATGCAGCACCTAACTCATGGCACCATCCAAGTTTCCATTCTTCAGGTCTACGATTGATGGATTCTGAGGATAGCTGATGTGATCGTTCTAGCCCAGTTTGACTTTCTACATAACGTCCAACACTTTTGCTACGTCTTGACTGCAACTCATAGTTTTTCAGTGAATTTGTTTGATTATCACGTTGAGGATTTGGTGTCCAAGATCCTGTAAACATTTATTTTCAGTCATTTAATCTTTTGTAGTTTTAGAAGAAGAATATAAATAATGGTCTTTCTTTTGTTGTTGTAAAAATAAATTTCAAGCATCAAGAATTGTTGTGTAAAATTTTCACATATTAGAAAAATAGAATGGAAGTGAAAATTTGCTTACGATTTACTCGCTGCACGGTTGACGCTGGAGTTAACAGTTCTTTTTGTTGGTACCTCAGCACTGAAGGATCTGAATAATTTTTCCTCAATGTGATTTTGAGCAAATTAAGAAATGAAAAATCAACATGCAAACAAAAGAAGAATGAAGTTTATTATGCTTTGCTTATCAAATGCTACCCACTCACTTCGAAAATAATAGTCCAATTAGTGGATCGATCGTATTTCCAAAATTATAATAAGGAAGGTAAAAATGGAAGTGATCTTCACTTTAGCGCATTCAATTCAACGAAATTTCATCGATGTAACACGGAGATAAAATAGCTTATAAATACATTTATTATGACTAATGTTGTGCTTTTTTTAATGCAAAGAGAACAATGTACTTTTGACACTTTTTTTTGTAATTTTGCCGAATCATTCTGAGAGAAGAACAATTTCACACGAATAAAATTCCAAAATTGCGAAGCAAAATCAATCCTAAAATTTTAGAAAAAAAAGTAAAAAAAGTAAAATGGGATTTTTTTTTTTTAAAAAAAGTGACCTACAATCTCTAATCAGTTGTGCAATAGATGACATTGAGAACAACAAACGATGAATGACATGCTGTAACTAATACGATAATCGTCTCCTGGATTTAGCTGACACAAATATGCACATTTATATGCGTGCCATGTAGTAGAAGCATGAGCAAATATTACAAATGCCATTCTCTTTTTATGTGAAATCATTTGAGAATTTAAGCTTAGTCTGTTTCAAAACATTTTGCAGACATTTTTAAATTTTATTGCCAATGATAGTGATGGAATAGCAAAGAAGAAGTGATGATGACAGCGATTATCAACAATAATAAAATGACATTACCATTGTAGTTGATTCCTAAGAAATCTGGAATGAATTCTGGAAGTTCTCGACAAAAAACAAATATTTGACAAGCGCTTTTTAACTTATTCAACTAGGAAACGATCTTCTCTGATATGACACACAAACACAAACACACACACACACACACACACACACACATACGTATAAATTATGTATAACGGCAGTGAGGAACAGACAATATCTGTAATGCATTCATCAGACAGTAAACTTTCAGCATTCTTTCGTTTAACTCCAATATCAGAACAAAAATTAGGTGAGCTTTAGGAAAAATTTACCTTAGGTGAGCTAAGGTAAATTTTTTAAAATTGTATCACTGCAGCTTGTTCTTACAATTATACCGCCTGATATGCAAAGGTGATCAATGAAGGATCTGTTCATTCAAAACGATTATTCCTCTCACCTCATTAAATTTGTTTGTTAAAATTTAAAGATTTTCGAAATTTTGTCCATTACATTAAAGCATCACTGTATAATAAGTGAGTAACCTATAACTCGATTATAACATGGTAGAAGTGTTGAAAGGGAAGTTGGGTTTAGAAATATGACGCAAGAAATTTGTACATTTGTGTAAAATTACAAACGATGAATTCGTTATAATTTCGCAATCATAAAGTGTTATCTTGCTTAATTTATTTTGTCACAACAATAAATTAAATCGGAATGATTTTTTCAGCAGATAAATACACATCAAGAAGGTGCTACTGATAATGTTAGAATAGTAACAGTGAGGACTGGGAACGTTTATGACTAAATTTTATTTTGCTAGTCATTAATATTTTTGGATTGATGTTCATTTATCTTGCGCCGAATTGAAAGATAGGTAGGCTACCCTTTTGATTAATAATTTATGATAAGAACTGCCAAATTGATTTTCAGAATTAATGATTAAAATCTGAGCCACTACAGTTCATAGCTTACAATGTGACATCTAATCAATCTATAGTCTTTTATTAGATTGATATTAATATTTTATTATTCCTCAAATTCTGAATTAACTTAAGCAGTGAGATTTCGAAAACACCAGATGATCTTTAAAAGATATAGTTTATGAGGGCTATAAATCGGATGATGCAACTGGTTGCACTCTCATTTATTGCAATTAATTCTGAATTTTATCTAATAAGTGTTAACAAAAACATTTCTGAAAAGTAATGGAATTGAATTATACTTTGAGTTAGTCTCACAAAATCTAAGGTAAAATCCAATCAGTGTTTAAAATTTTCTCCATCAACCTGAGCTCCTAAAAAATAACGGAAGCATTGCAAGCATCAACAAGTAACCACTCTAATTATAATTTTTGGAAAATTAATAAACGATGCCAACTTGTATTTTTAGTATAAGCATCATAGCGAAGTCTCTTTGATGGGCCATATTTTTTCGCATCATGTTATACTTTGCTATAATTTATATTATCAATATGTAAAAAGCAATTTTGAGAAGCATCCGTAATGAAATGATAAGAAGAATCTTAATATAATAGCAATTGAAAAGATAAAATAATCGGACAAACATGCGGACAAATAGACGAACTTTCTTTTCATTTATATTTTCTAATTTTCTATTTTCTATTCAACTGGAAGAAATGAATTGTGGTGCAAATAAATTGGACTGACCATAGGTATACATGCCAGCTTAGGCAAGGAAGCGGTACGGATATGAGATAGACTGGTCGAATGTAATTGCTATGTAACATTTCATGGGACATGTAGTTAGGCTATATGACATGAGCCATAGCTAGGAGATTTAAACACTTGAAAGAAACATTTCTCTCATTTGGCCAGACACTGACTGACACTTACACATTACTCATGCTGCGCATAAAAAGAGATATCAAAAAAAAAAAAAAAACTCTCTTTTGAAATTCCTCTCCATGTCCACTTTTCAAAAAGCGCTGATGGCATTTCCAATTTTTTAAAATTACAAATTTTTATTGGGAAACAAAGTTGGTAATTTGTTTTCATCGATCAGCCTTCAAGATTAAAAGTAATCGTAAAATAACTTGCCTAACTGATCAACTATATGCATTTTCTTGAACATGGTACGATACCAACTTGAATTTTCAGTATGAGCATCATAGCGAGGTATAGTATTCGTGGTACCTTGGAGTTCCCGCTCTAATGGCGTAGATGTTTTTAATATGGCGCTGGCTGCAGGATTTTGTTGTTCTGGTTGGAGTTGACGGAGGTTACCGCTTTCAGGCTGCATTTTGGTCCTCATCTCTATTGGTTTCGAGAGGGGCATTTCACATGGTGTTGTTGCTATTGATGATGATGAAGCAGCAAATTGGTTTCCTACTTCCTGAGTAATATCAGTACCAAGATTACTTGCTAGAGCAATATCATTATGGTTGATTGATACAGGTATTTCCAGATCCCTAATAGCCATCTTATTTCTATCTGTACTGTGACCATTAACGAAGAATGATGGTGAATTCAGTGTTGGTGGAGTGGTAATAGTATTTTCACTAATAGCGCTATGATGGAAACTAATAGTTCCATTAGTAATGGATGATGTTGTTGAAGGCAAGGAAGATTGTGGACGATCGTCAACTCTCTCTTTGACTGGTTTCAATTTTTGATAATCATTTAATTGGCTTGATCCTGCCATATCATTGGCTGGGGAACAAGTATAATTGTTGTTCTCCTCGTATTTATGAATGATTGCTGGTGATGAAAATGTACCCGAAGAAGAAGATGTTGGTACAACAGATGTATTGTTGGAATAAATGTTGAGTATGTTCGGAGCGATGATAACTGAAGAAGAAAGTGTCGCTGTACGATTGAATGGTAGCGGTGTTATGCAAGATATGTGCCGCTCCACCGGTTCATGAACAACAGATAACTGTTTCTGTAGTGTTGTATGATTGAATGATTCAGAATTACTGCTAGGTTTCGACATCTTTGGTGCTAGATGCTGAAAATTTGATCCGTCATTAGGCTGCGAAACATATGGATATTGCCCATTCGAACTGGAAATCCACAATGGCAATCTCGTACGACCGTTAGCAATTGTCATAGAGCAGCCAGTTGAAGGTGGTGGAGTAGATGGCATTTTAACCTCTAATTTTTTGGCAATTTGCTCACGAAGCGAAGCAACCGATTGAGGTTTCGGTATTTCAATAGCACCTTCTGCCCTGGACGTCATCGAATTTTTGTTACCACCATCTCTTGTTTCGGTTCGCAACGTCCACTTTGTCCCACCAGGTGAAGATTCGTTTTTTGGCTTAACTTGTATTCTTGATGATGGAGGTGGAGGTGGTGGTGGAGGTGGTGGTGGTGGCAGTGGTGGATTAGGTAGCTGAAGCAATATTGTTCTGATCATCTGTAAATATAAACATTTATTACAACGTTACAGTCAGCATATTATATACTTCCACCTCTTCTGAAGACTATAATTACATCAATTTGATTGAGCTAAAACAAAATTTCTAAGCCTTTTCGCCCATCAATCCATCATTCCATTATTTATGCTACTAAAGCCATTTTTCAAATATATTAATTATTTCTCTGACCTCAAGTGAATATGGGATATTTATGAAATTTTATTGAACTGATTGGAAATTCTCAGAACTTTAGGATCAAATAAATTGATGTCTCCAATTTATAAAGCAAGAAAAGAAGACAGTCTAAATAAATCATCCAAAAAGGTGCAAGTATAGGGAAAGTTTAATCACTTCGGTTCAGCAATTTTGGAAGCCTATTAATCGTTTTCAGGAAAAAGTAATTGTTATCACAGTAACCGAAGAAGAAAAGCATTGACAGCGTTTTTCTTGAAATTTGTTAGATTATTTCCAATTCCGTTATATTTTTTCGACTCTTTTTTTCACTTAACACTAAATTTCACATTATTTATTACATCATTAATATTTAATAATGCATCATATTATGAATTAAAATTGGTTTCTAACACACGTTCACTCATAAGCTTATTTTTATTTGTTCTTATTTATAATTACTTATGTTATTTATTTACCGCATATTTTTTGCTTTTTTATTGACAGCTTTTTTTACTACTGCATTTCTTTTCTTCAAATGCAAAAATTTGAAACATAAACCATAATTAATTATTTCTCAATCTTCATTTCACAATAAACTTATTGAAAAAAAATAATTATTCCAAATTTTGAGCGAAAATTTTGAATCTAACAGTTTTTAAAAGTTTTATTCTTTCTCCTTACTATCACGCAAAAAATAAAACGTTTCATTGCTGTACACGATTAAAGTTAGAGAGTTTTTTAATTAAAGCTATTGGCAATTTAGAAACACTTTTAATTTTTCACTTCAAGATATGTCTACCTTCCTTTTTTCTCTTTTTTTTTGACTGTGATGAATTTTCCGATATTAATGAAATTGGTTTTATATGAAAGGCAACAACGATCAATGACGAGGGAGGAATAACAAAAACTATTCGGTCACATCAATTAGTTTACTCATTTCACAACTATATCTCCTCTAATTGTACATTTGATTAATCATTAAAGTAATGTACAGATTTGAAAAAGTCTAAAATTTATAAAATTAAAAAATCAGTGCAAATCTTCAAACATATACTCAGTATTTCAATCTGTAATTTTCGTCAAAACAGCAAAATTTTCAAGATAAACATATATAAAATTTAAAGCAGTAATATTATCATAAAAGTTACCTGATCTTCAAATAACTTTATATGTAACAGAAGGACTAAAAATATTTTCATTGCTTTTAGAAGGTAATGTAATTTTATGGCTTCTTATAGATAAATTGTTCAGGATCTTCTCAATTTATATCCTTCTTCTACACTAACGAGTCAAATTATATCAGAAATAATTGTAAAAAGAAAAACGGAATATAAATGGGAGAATGGCAGTTATTTCTATGGATTCTGAATCAGAGCTTTCAGATGGTTCGTTGGAACTCCAATGCAGGTAATGCGATTCAAGTGCTAGTTTGTTTTAATGAATTTTGATTTAAGCTAGTTACTTTAGCGAAAACACAGACTATTGCAGCATTGAAGTATGGATCAGCTTGTATGTTTTTAAATGTTTCTTCACATTTTAAAAATTGAAGTGTCGAGAGTTGATTCCAGAACACTGTGATTCCATCCAACTAAATTAGGAATGGGCAGATTAACAAATGAACAAATATAGATGATGATGACATATATGACTACAAATAACTTCTGGGCAAGAATTTACCTCATCATTTCGAAATTCTGGTTTTACTGAGCTTTTTTCCTGTGCATCAGAAACCTGAAAATTAATTTTCTAGTTGAAATAAAATATTTGATATTTTTGTAGAGATCCCCATATGAATGTATATGAAAACATCCTAACAGAACTTATAAATTTGAGCAGTAACAAATTGTAAGTCACTTTTAAAATAAATTAAAAAATTTCTACAAATATTATTATAGTAAATGAATGAAGAAGACGGGAATATTAAATCAATTTTGACATTTTCAATGCTATAAGATGAAACATTCATTCATAAATGGGTACGATTGATTTATTATATATTTGCAAATAATTGTAATGAAACAGAAAGCTAAAATTTTACTAAGTAAAAAAAATAGAAAAGAAAAGTGGAATGGACTGGCAAAAGAATTCGGAAATGGGGCACATATAGAAAAATGTTGCTAGAAATAATCTTAAAATATTATATTTCTTTTTATTTTTTGTACTTTGAAGCTTGCTATTGCTGTTGCTGCTACAAACATTTTGTCTTATGATTGATGGAAATGCATAAGCAAGTCAAAAGTGTTTAATGGATTTCAAGTTATCCTTCCTTCTCATTTTTCTTCTCTCCTCTCTTTCTATTACCTTCCAAAAAAGAAACATCTGTACATCCAATTATAAATACGAACATTTCCAATAAAATCTTAAAATCTGTGAGGAATTGCTAAATATGAGAAGAAATGTGAGGAATTGCTAAATATGAGGCGGAAAAAAAAGAGTGAAAGAAACGTTTAAACTATCAAACTCAATTACTATTGCATGTTTAGTTTTTGTTTCTTCTTTTAATTGCAGTTCTAAAATCATTTTCAGCAGTACTTTTCGAAGTTAGGAAGAAAAAAACGAGAAAAGAAGCAAATATCCGTGAAAATTTTATGTAACATGTCGAGACTAGCACAATGAGGCAAATTTATGTTCTCGTCATGAATAGGGTCTACACAATTTTGAAAATCTAATTTTAAAAAATTTTTACTGATTTTAGAATAGCTATGCAATTTTTCGAGTTTTCATTGCCTTATCTCATAATAAAAGAAGGAATTTTTTTGCATTGTAATCTTTCCGGAATGCATAAATAACATTGAAAATTATTGTTTCCATGTGATCGAAAGGAAGCTCCGGAACAAAACTTTACATACGCAAAACTTTAATCATATCTATCAACAATTTCATTAAATTATTTTTAACCACTATTTATTGTGACTTATGATGAAGAATTAATTATATAGAACATTGCGTGAATGACTGATATATGCGGAAGATTTGCATAAGGTTATGCAAATAATAACGATTAATTGAAAAAAGTTTGGATCAAAGATTTATCTTTTTGGAGGATGCAAACTGTGTAAATTCATATTATCCGAAAGATAAAAGGCGAAGAAAAAAAACAGAAGTGTTGCAAAAAAAACGAAATGGTTTAAAATAAAAACTTTGTTGAGGATAAAAACATACCGAATGTGTTGGTGATAAAAAGTTGTCGAGTGAATTAGATGAGAGCGGATTATTGCCAGAATTTTTAGGAAGTGAAATAATATTAGATTCAGGGTTACATCCGGTTTCAAACACAGAAGATGGCGAACGTAAAGATGTTGGGAACAATTGTCCGGATGAAATTGCTGGTATTGCCATTGATGTAGCTGTTGTTACCAATGGGGATGCTGCAGTTCGCGATTAGCTTTCGTTACTTCTTTAGCTTTCTTGCAAACTTCAAATCTCTCTTCAATTCCTTTCACACAGAAACGATAAATATACGCTTTACACAGGGCATCATCGCTTACCAATCACTACTGCTCAACAGATCAGTCCATTATCATTTCATTATCATACCATATTAGATAGATTTTAAAACTATCGCTAAATTAGATGTTTCCTTTGCATTAAAATTTTCGAGGAATTCGATAAATTGTGCAAAAAAGAATTTTTATTTAAGATATCATCTAAGTTACTGTATAATAAGTCTACTTTTCTACATTTCATATCCACCACTGATGTATATTTGTCTTTTTTTTCGTTCTGTTGGCAATTTCTTCATTGATAAATTCCTTGCTTTTTTTCATTATAATGAGCTCAACAAAAATTTTCAAATATGTATGGAACTGTGAGTGAACAGTTGGTAGTTCAACTATCATTATTTATTAAGCAATAATTCAGACTGAAAAAAGTTCCAAAAAAAATATTGGATTAATGGAACTGACCTGACAGATTTTGTGGTAAAAAGTAGCTTTCTTTAGTGAAATCACTACTGAAAGTAAATATTTTCAAAAACTGAGTATAAATAAGCAAGCTTATAAATATTTGGTATTCAATATGACACACACAATTATATAAATAAACGGTTGAAATAGAGAGGAAACGACTGCTGATGGAATGGAGTCGAGATATTATTCAGTGACATAAACACTGCATTCAGTTGTATCAGTATAATTATGGATCTCATTTTTTCAGATTCTCCAACTTGAGCAACTCTATTGCAACCCATTGCTTTCTTTCCTGACATTTGATGAATAAAATAGTTTCAAGATTAAATTCCATTTCTTACGAAAAAGCTAAGTTAGACAGAGTCAAATATCAACCAAATTACCCAAAGAAAGAAAACAAACAGATTCATTTAAATAAACTGAAGTGAGTGAATTCCGAGAGTGTTTGTCATAAGGTTACACAGATATAAACTTTTCTATAAAAGCGTGTCGAACAAAGTTATGAGTTTCTGTCTCAAAATTTGTTTGCGTATAATTCTAAAAGTGATATTTGCGCACCTTGATGCTGATTGTCTTTCGGTATCCGTAGTTGACTGAGTGAAATCGGCAAAATTTTCATCAATAGAATCGTATCCAGAAATGTGGGAACCTTGATCGCTAGACAGTAAAGACGGTGATTCGCATTCAATCTTTCGATAAAACTGATTCATATCTGTGGGATCATTCAATACTTTTCGGTTTACTAGCATTTCAAAGAATCGTCTCTTATCGCGAGCGGAGACACACATGCTACCTGCTTCACTCAATTGTCACTAATTACTACGTCACTTTCTATTTATCCATTGCATATATCTTCAGGATAAAGTCATATTGAGATTCCGGCCTCGACCAAATCTTATCTTCAAGTTCTTAAATACGACGATATCTTTACGAATTCAAGAATGGTCAGTCCTTAAACGCTCCATGAATACCTCAAAATACCTTTGTCGTCAAAAAAATAGTGAAAAATTATAAAAATTCACTCCTACATTCTCTTTATTCCTAGTTAAAACTGACCATTATATTCATCAATGCTCATGAAATAAAACGGATGTATAGGTAATATTCCTGACGACGGATAACTTCTCTCATGCATTCTTGAAGAGAGCATTGGTTTATCATCAAGCTTTACTAGCATTGCTGTTTCCGAATGTATTGAAATGGCTGCTAGTTGCGTTGGTAAATTTGTGTCACGAGAAGATTTCGAACCATCAAACTTAAGTGCTGTAGCATTTCGCTGAACTGTCGGCTTCACTGGTATTGGAGGGAGATGTTTAAGATGTTTCCTTCTGTTAACATGGATCCTCTGAAATGAATTCATATATGATTCGTACTCTCAAATAGATATTAGATAAGATCGATACTTCTCATCGTTAAATTTCTGTAAAATATAACAAATTGTTTAAAATTATTTAAAACGAATAATCGTTTCAAATACTTCACTATAAAACTAATTAATTAAGACAAATTAGAAACATAGAAACCTTCTGTTCAAAATTAATCAAATACAAATTAGCAAACAGAGAATCACTTCAAAATGCGCGGTGTCAGTTTAGCGACGAATAATTCACAAAGGAAAGCTAAACGAAACAAATGAACGAGCAATTTTGTTAACAAAAAAGCGGCAAAACAAGTTAGATTGTATGCGTCCAGTAGCATCACAATACAATCAAACAGGATGTTAATTAAGAAGAAATAATTAATGCTTTTTGTACGTTTTGTCACGACAGAAAAGATTTCGTAAGCAGCTAAAATTTAGAAAGAATTATAAAGATAAATTTAATTCAACTACTATTTAAGAATGATAAAAACAATGTGGAATAGAAATGGAAGCACAGGAAAAGTTAGGATAATGTAAGGATAAACGTTGAGAATGATTAATATTGAATCATTTCGTACTTATCTATGTGAAATCATATTGGGGATATGGTCAGGTCATTAAAATGAAAATTTTCTACGTTAAATAATGGCGGATTGTCAGGAAATACCGATCCATGTAAGGGAATAATGTTGGGTAAAGATCATTAAGGCACAATAACATGTTAATTTAAAGTTAAAACTAAGTCAT